ATAATAATAATAATAATAAAAATAATAATAAAACTACTACTACTCCATACTTTGGTAAAGAAATGACCGTTAGAGTATAAAAATTAAAGAAAATAACGAAACAATAGATATACCGATTTATCAACAACGAAATAAATTGTCATCTCGATACGGTAGCCGAGATATGTCAATCTAATTACTCGTCTTTCTCTCTCTCACTCGAAGAAAGAAGCAGCGCACGGAACAAGTCTCTCCTCCTCCCGTATGATCGTTGCACGCGCGCACACACACACACACACATGCGCGCGAGACGAGACACACGCATCGGGACAATTAATCGGACAACCGTGAGAGGTATACATACATATACTCCAGCAGGTACAATAGAATACTGTATAATAACAAGCATGGCATTATTATACGAACTCTGCTGCACGCGACTGTTATTGTTATTGTCATTGTTGTTGTTATTATTATTATTATTATTATGTTGTGTGTTGTTTGATAGAGAGAAATTTTGGCTCACCTCCAAAGTGACTCTTGGTGCGTAGGTAGCTGACGCTGAGCCTGAGTATGCTGAGCCGATCGAGTTTACTCAGGATGTTCTGTTCGAAGGGCAGCAGCGAAGCCAGGGTGTCCAGTTCGGCGTTCAAGCGCTCCCGATGCCGCTTGCTCGGATTCGACTTTGTCACCCCATCCTTTTGCGGTGGCTTTAGACTGTAATCCAATATAGGTTATTGAAACGGTTTAGAGACGATGTGAAACATATACTGCGTGCCAGTCAATAAAAAAAAATAAAAAAAGGAAGAAAAAAAAAAATAAAAAAAGGTCCAAATACGTCTACGCGTCCGTTAATGATAAATAGCAAACAATGCGCGCTGCTATAATTGAGCTTTGTTTACAAGCGAAAAAAAAAATATTTATATATATATATCATGGGTCATCGGGTTATTCGTAGAGTGATAGTAACAACACGCTTCTTTCTACCCTCCTAAGCATTTTAATGAATCAAAGCCGAGACATTTTACGCCACCCCGAGGCTTTCTTGTTGTCGGTATTATCATTCGAGTTTATTATTATTATTATTACTATTATTGTTATTATTATTATTTTACTTAAAAAAGTCTCGACTCAGGTACATGTACTTCAAAGTAAGTATATGTATGTATGGTTTATCAATATATTTGTTTAGGCAAGTGGTGAATTAGTTAGGAAAAAAAAAGTTATTTTAATTGTATTACTAAATACAACACCAGATTACTATTCCATATCACAATAATTTTTATAAGTTTTTTATTTTTGTTTCTCGGTATTTGCAAGGTACAAATATTACGTCTGCAAGTGTCAATTAAATTTACAAGAGGCTGTGAATGTTTTATAAATTTATATTAGAATACTTGGGTGTATAAGTTGTTATCATCAAGGTATAAGTCTACTGATAATTTTTTTGCACATATTGCGCCATATTAAATGTGATCGTGTAATATACGTAAAATTTGAGTGACATTCCGTACTCCGGATTCCCAAGTAAATTTGCTTTTTCCATATTTTGGATAGCTTTCACGTCAGCCAACAATAATTACCTACTTGGTTTGCAGATGATTATAGATGATGTCTTGAGTAAATTTCTTCAATGCGTATTATACAAAAATAAAATAACACGAGTTGAAATGTAATGGAAGTTTGGTTTTCAGTTAAGCATGTCTAACGTATACCAAAGTACCTATACATATATTATAGCGGGGGGAGGGGCAGGGGGGAATTCCATCGTATAAATATAGAGCAGGATGACCAGATAGAGATAGAGAACACAGATGAATGCCGTCGTCGCCATTTTGTAGTGCTCGCAGCACAAGGTTATCTCCGGCATCCCCCTGCGTGTATGTACCCCCTACGTATATTACATATACCAATGGAGTGGTGGCTGTATCAGCCGAGCACGGCTGAGAAGAAAGAAGGGGAGCAACCATCCATCATCCATCCCCCAGTACGGAGGTTCTGTATGTAATATGTAAAATTATTATGCGGGGTGTTACCTACTACCTACCTATCTGTATTTCGTATAGGAAAAGATAATAGAACCTAAGCAAGGAAGGAAGGAAGGAAGAAAGGCGCCTAAAACTATACCACTACGCTGAAAGAGGGAGGTGCACATCGGCGAGTTGAGTTTGATACGGCGCACGCGCCCCCTTCCCCGTTCAGTTATACTATGGATTTTCGACTCGGCGGCCTCCATATCCATATACCCATCACCTACTACTGAGAGGGAATATACACGCACAATTATAGTATATACGCGGTAGCTATGATGATGATGATGATAGGTCGCGCTAGTGAGGTGCTTGTATATATGTTATCTGTCTAGTTTGACTTTTTTTACGTTTGAACAAGCCAATAAAAGCTTCGGAATAGGTTTTTCTAACGCAGTTTTGCTGTCGCACACAGCTGCATGTGGACTAATGAGGGAAACGGTAGCCGCCGTTGTGCCATGTACACATCAGGAATCGCCCTTGTCTCAAAATTACGATATCACGCTTTTTTTTTTTTTTTTTTTTCTTCTAAAAAAAAGGGAAAAAACGAGCACGAAGGAAAGAGAGGGGAGGGGTTGAGCCTAATGAAATTGGTAAATTAGGAAAGGGGCTCGGGAGTCGCGCGTTCATTACTTTTTTGCGTCAGATCGTCGTGGCTGATATATGGAGAGGTAAACTCGCGGCTCGCAATTAATCTTTCCTCGACCGGTGCTGCTGCTGCTGCTGCCTCTCGACCTATCTCTGTGTGAGTCGAATGATAATTAATGCGACGCAAGTTGGAGGAGCGAAGGTGATGGAAAGACAAAAGTGCAGATTTATTCATATACATCACAGTCAAAGACCATAACAATTCTCCACAAGCATACATTACATATACCATCTGATGGACTACCTGAGGTGCGTACATGCGTATGCATATATATATAGCGCCACGCTAATTGAATTGTTGCTCTCTGGGTCCGAGCACCCTGCTTTTGTTTGGCGGGGAAATCACATACATATATGATTTCGGCATACTGCAGAGAGCGCGGGATTAAATATGGATGAGGAGGATCGTGATTTTTGCGTATCGGTTCGCCAAAGAGATGGCCACGAATAATGAGAGGCAGATGCAAAGAAAAGAGATAAAAAGAGAGGGAGAATTGTTGCCAGGGGCTATTTTGAAGAACTGTTGCAGCATTGAAATCAAGGCTTTTATCGACGCGAGGAGAGGCCTTAATGATACTCGTACATGGCTGCTCTGCGGTTGCCGTAGTGCCGTGGCGGTGGTGATGGTTGTTATATCGTGCGAAACCGAGGCAAAATCGAAGGAGAATGAAAAATCCGCTAATTTCAGGTGCGTGTATGTGTATTTATAACTGCACCGGTGCAGGCTGGTGTGGGCCCGACTGTCGGCTGTGTGTATATAATATATACACGAGGGACCAAATGGCCGCCCTCAGGCGTCTTCTTTTTTACCCTTGTGGTGCAGTTTGAAAGGGAACGAGACTCGCGGTCGTTTGGCTCAAAAAAATCGTTTATTCGTTTCGTTGGTTCCTTTGAAACGAAAAAAAAAAAAAACATATCTCGCAAGCTGCACTTTTATCTCGTTATCTATTGCACATGAAATTAATCGGGTGTAATTTTTCATTACATATACCTCGTGAGGCATCGACTTTCGAGATTTACGTAATTTTTTCGTTATAAAGATAGGACCTAGAACTTAGAACCAAAGGTCAACTAGATGGCTATTTGTGACAATTAAGGATCTTTCAAATAAACGAAAACAACAACAACATTTATGAATCGTCAAAAAAAAAAAAAAAAAAAAAAAAAAAAAAAGACTTTTGATTAGAGTTCGAGCCTGCACTTAAAGTGAAATTAAGCTGGACTAAAGAGAGGGAGAGAGCCCCAGGGGGCTCCATTCAGAGAGAGAGAGAGAGAGAGAGAGAGCTAGCGCTTAAAAGCTCGTTAGGGTGTAGGGTGCAGTGCACAAAAATAGTATCGAGCGAATTATTATTACCTATAATGTTTGAGCTCGCGTTGCCTCTAATTACAGGGGCCGCAAAAAGCAAAACTCGCTTCTTTTTGCGATTGTCATCGGGCACTCTACGGCAACTCTGCGTTTTCTTGCCCGTTCATTGGCTAACGCATATGTTCGTGGGGAACAAAGAAAAAAAATAGAATATGCTAATGTGCCGCCCTATACAGTAGTCAGCTTCGATACGCGAACCGCCCGATGCACGTTACGCACATGAATAAGCGAGGGTGGAAAATATTTTTGGGCAAGAGAAAACTCAAGACCCACCATAATATATATAGGCGTATCTCTCTGAGCTGCGTTCACGCATCAAGAGACAATCGGCAACAGCGAGGGAGCATACGTGGTATATGGTTTATACATACGCAGTGTATATTATGTATATACACAGACCCGAGATATAATAATAATAATAATATCGATGCGTTGGCATCGGCATAACCACGCAAGGGGGCGATAATTGCGTGAAAACATTAGGGCCCCCTCGAAGACACTTGAGAATATATACAATATATATATATTATCTCCAAGATTCGAGGAGGAGGACAGTAGCAGATTATTATTGGCTGCACCGGTGTGGGTATATCAACATTCACTAGTGCGTATACGGTGTAAAAAATGCAACAGGAGCTCACGCCACCCCCCTCCCCCTTCTACTCTCCCGGGGTCTACAGTATAAGGGGGAGGGAAGGGGGTACCTTATAGGTGGCAACTGTACGGAGGAGGAAATCGGCAGCGCGAAAACGACACGGCAGAGAGAAAGAACGAGAAATCACGAAATCACATCTCGCGATCTAGAGGAGGTGAAGGCAAGAGCGAAAGAAGAAGAAAAAAAAAGAGAGAGAGACGTGGAATCCGCGCAATTAACTGGGCAGCAGCGTCCCACGCCCCGGGGGCTTTGTTTACAGGCAGCACAAGGTATATAGCGACGAAGAGCTGCGACGACGACGACTACTACTACTACTACTACTACTACTACGACAAAGTTACTCCTCTAGGTCCGTATCGAGCATCTCGAGTCTCTTCCTCCTATACCTGGTAGTAAGTAAAAGACGGGTGGTGGTAATGGTATTACATATATACATATATATATAGTTGCTGGTGGTTCAGCTTATATATTATACTCCAGCTTCACGCGACTTTTCGCGCTATACATGCAAGTACATAGGTATATTCATACGAGCAAGATTCGAGCCAAACTCTGTGAACGCTGCGAGGAGCAGAGAGTTACAGAAGACCGAGAAGAGAGAAAAGGGACTTGACGATATTCAGTATAGGTGTATATATATATATATATATATATATATATATATATACGCACGCGCGCACATAAATCTGTCATCGGGGGGCCCCGTGCATGTATAAATAAAGATATGTGTGTGTGTGTGTGTGTGTGTGTGTACGATAGCGTTTTTCGAGAGAAAGAGAGAATAAAAAACGAGACACGAGTAATCAAGAGGGCGACGGTGGCGGCAGAGGGATGTTAATGAATCGTTGGGCAGCAGCAGCAGCAGCGGGCTTCTTCTCTTATCCTCCGTGGGGCTTAATTCCCGCTAAACGCGCGACAATTATATATTCCGGGCATCCCAGGCACCACCACTGTTACTTCTTCGACAGGGATAAGGTGGAAAAGAAAAAAAAAAAATAATAATAAAATAAAATGAACA